AGGGGAAAGGACAGCCACGATAGGGAAGGACTGAGAATATGCAATAATCCCCCCCCACCCACACACACACACTTCTAAAACTCAAAAATCTGAACTTTTCTGATGTTTGAAAAGAAATCTGATCATTTCTTCCCACATTATTTTTCATTTTTGCTCACCTCTGGACAGGTTCTGCCTGGAACCACAAACTAGTGCCAAAATAACTCACGACAGCAAGCAGTGCCAAAAATCTCAGAAGGATCCCTCTTCTCATGATATGTCCAGCCAAATTTTGTGTACCCAAGTAATTCAGAAGGCAAGATTCACCAGTACGCTCTGGCCACTCTGGAAATGCAAAACAGCCATAAATACAGATTAGCTGGTCAGCACAGCTGCATTTACATAGAATCATACAATCATAGAATATCAGGGTTGGAAGGGACCCCAGGATGTTATCTAGCCCAACCCCCTACTCAAAGCAGGACCAATCCCCCACTAAATCATCCCACCCAGGGCTTTGTCAACCCTGACCTTAAAAAACTCTAAGGAAGGAGATTCCAACACCTCCCTAGGTAACCCATTCCATTGCTTCACAACCCTCCTAGTGAAAAAGTTTTTCCTAATATCCAACCTAAACCTCTTCCACTGCAACTTGAGACCATTACTCCTTGTTCTGTCTTCTGCTACCACTGAGAACAGTCTAGATCCATCCTCTTTGGAACCCCCTTTCAGGTAGTTGAAAGCAGCTATCAAATCCCCTCTCATTCTTCTCTTCTGCAGACTAAACAATCTCAGTTCCCTCAGCCTCTCCTCAAAAGTCATATGCTCCAGCCCCCTAATCATTTTTCTTGCCCTCCGCTGGACTCTTTCCAATTTTTCCACATCCTTCTTGTAGTGTGGGGCCCAAAACTGGACACAATACTCCAGATGAGGCCTCACCAACGCTGAATAGAGGGGAATGATCACATCTCTCGATCTGCTGGCAATGCTCCTACTTATACAGCCCAAAATGTCCTTAGCCTTCTTGGCAACAAGGGCACACTGTTGACTCATAGTCAGCTTCTCGTCCACTGTAACCCCTAGGTCCTTTTTTGCAGAACTGATGCCTAGCTATTTGGTCCCTAGTCTGTAGCAGAGCATGGGATTCTTCCGTCCTAAGTGAAGGACTCTGCAATTGTCCTTGTTGAACCTCATCAGATTTATTTTGGCCCAATCCTCTAATTTGTCTAGGTCCCTCTGTATCCTATCCCTACCCTCCAGCATATCTACCACTCCTCCCAGCTTAGTGTCATCTGCAAACTTGCTGAGGGTGCAATCCACACCATCCTCCAGATCATTAATGAAGATATTGAACAAAACTGGCCCCAGGACTGACCCTTGGGGCACTCCGCTTGATACCGACTGCCAGCTAGACATGGATCCATTTATCACTACCCATTGAGCCCGACGATCTAGCCAGCTTTCTATCCACCTTATAGTCCATTCATCCAGCCCATACTTCTTTAACTTGCTCAGAAGAATACTGTGGGAGACCGTATCAAAATCTTTGCTATAGTCAAGGAATAATACGTCCACTGCTTTCCTCTCATCCACAGAGCCAGTTATCTCATCACAGAAGGCAATTAGGTTAGTCATGAATGACTTGCCCTTGGTGAATCCATGCTGACTGTTCCTGATCACTTTCCTCTCCTCTAAGTGCTTCAGAATTGATTCCTTGAGGACCTGCTCCATGATTTTTCCAGGGACTGAGGTGAGGCTGACTGGCCTGTAGTTCTCCGGATCCTCCTTCTTCCCTTTTTTAATGATGGGTACTACATTAGCCTTTTTCCAGTCATCTGGGACCTCCCCCGATCACCATGAGTTTTCAAAGATAATGGCCAATGGCTCTGCAATCACATCCACCGACTCCTTTAGCACCCTCAGATGCAGTGCATTCGGCCCCATGGACTTGTGCTCGTCCAGCTTTTTAAAATAGTCCCGAACCACTTCTTTCTCCACAGAGGGCTGGTCACCTCCTCCCCATGCTATGCTGCCCAGTGCAGTAGTCTGGAAGCTGACCTTGTTTGTGAAGATAGAGGCAAAAAAATTATTGAGTACATTAGCTTTTTCCACATCCTCTGTCACTAGGTTTCCTCCCTCATTCATTAAGGGGCCTGCACTACAGGTGCTTTATATCACAAGAATGATGCAAAGCTGCCAGAGTAGTGATGAATCTGGCTCACATAGTTCAGAGGAACTCTGGATCAGCTTGTGAACTTGTGTGTGTCTTTCTGAATACCAATGATTTGTTCAAGTTTCAGTCTCATGCAAATTTAAATATTCAATATGATAAATCCTTAGTAGGGTTAATATTGAAAATGCCAACATACTGCTAACTATGTAAATACGACCAAAATAAGCATAAAGTAGTAACTTTTAGAGTTAAATCAGATTTTTCTCATCTCTGAGAACAGTGCAGAATTCATGGCATTACACTACCAGTGACTCTTTAATGAGTGGGTAGTAAAAATACCCGCCTTTCTGAATGCCAGGGGATATCAAAAAGTTACTCACTTCTGACTCAGTAATTACCCACCAAAAATGTAGATCAAGTGGTCGTCACCCAAATTAGTACCTGCCAAAGAATGCTTTTGGCAAGGTTGTCGTCTGAGAAACAGGAAACGAGTTGCAAAATATTATTAAAACTTGAAAATAACAGCTTTAAGGTGTGAGCTACCATTCAAATAGACACAATGGAGCAGAGACAGGAAATGGAGAATGCACAGGAACTATGTAGAGAAGAGGGTTTAGGGTTGGGAATTGCCTTAAAAAAACCTCCCACATTTTCATCCCATTCTTCCACCTCCCATCGGACTCTCTGCAGTGTAAGTTATTGTGTCTGGAAGACACATCATAGCTACTATACGAATGAACTAAAATGGCTCTAAAATGTTCAGGGTCATGCATAAATGAGGAAGAGAGTAAGGATGGCCCATTGATTTAGGCACTAGCCTAGGACTTGGTAGACCTGCGTTCAAGTCCCTGCTCCTCTCTAGGCTTTCTATGCAAGCCACTTAGTCTCTTTGTGCCTCAGTTCCCTGCCTGTAAAATGCAGATAACTGCACTTTCCAACCTCATAGGGTGCTGTGAGGATAAATACAATGAAGATTGTGAGGCACACAGACACTACAATATTGAGGGCCATAAAAGTACCATAGGTAGATATTAATAATATATATTTTATCTGTTATATCATAGATAATAATAATTGATATTGGAAAATTGCATCTGTTGAGAAGAACAAAAGTAGGCAGGCCACTGCTTCTGGTGTTTCAGCTGCCATTTAACAACAAATACAATCAATAATGATCACTGTATACAGAACATTTTACCTCCAGGTACTTTACAATTATCCACATATAACACCTTTAGTATGCAACCATCTGGTGTGGAAGGTGGCAACCAAATGTCTTACAGCAAACTGAACAACAGAGTAAGGAGCAGATTTTTTCCATGGACATCCCGGTAGACCCTCACAAAAAGGACCCAGGGATATATTTCTGTCTACTCTGGCTGGACAGCACCTCAGTCTTAAACCTATATCTAAGAGACTTGCACACAGTAAATCGTACAGAACTCAATTTTTCTGCTACAGAAGGATGACGACTGAGTCAGTCCTGCCAAGATCTGAACCTCTAGTTCCAAGGACTACTAGTGTTTCAAACCCAAGAGCTCCTTTGTACACACACATAGCACTAGCACTGGCATTGATGTAACACAAATGCGCTTAAGCAAAAATGGTCCATGATAACTGAACATTCCAGGTATCTACATTAGCTTCTTTGACAGAAACTCAACTTGTAGACATCGTCATTTATGGATATGCAGGACTCATCGGATCACTGTAAATATAAACTGTCTTTTCCTTTCAGTCTATCCATCCTCTTTGGCTTGGCTTGCTCATACTATAGTTCTCTTTGTTGTTTGCATGTGTCTCTTATTCTACTAGACCATGGTATACTAACTTTAATATTCCATTGTATACTATGCTGTAAACCATTACTGACCCCTGCATAGTAAGTTAGACTTCCAGTCTTGCAATAAATCAGCACAAGAAGGAAAGCTATCTTGTAGCTCTCACATAGTCTCAGTAGTAGGAATTCCAAAGTGACTCCAAAAGATGCAAGCTAGTGAAAGGGTCTCATCTCATTTAGTCCTCAGAATGGTGGGCATTCCTGACTGTGGATCAGCCTGAAGTCTGATGTGAGACTTAAGCCTCCGACTTTTTAGCCCACATGAGTGAGTGCTTCCAGCAGAACGATACCAACATTCTGAAAATAAATGTGTGTATTCAATAAAGCTGACAGAGAACAGAGTAAGAATAAATAGTTGATTGTTTAAAATGGAAAAAGTCTAACAGTGGAGTGTTTCAAGGATCTTTATTAGGACTAGTGTTATTTAATATACTTATTAGTGACCTGCAAAAAATGGGGAGCTGGCAAGATTTACAGATGACATAAGATATTGAGGGTCATCAAGACAAAAGAAGATTAAGAAAATTAGGCAGATGTGCAGCATGATGGGAGATGAAATCCACTGTTGACAAATGCAAGGTAATGCATATTTGAAGGAATTATTTGAACTACTGGGATGCTATTTGAATTGCTGGGTTGTAGATTAACTAACCACTCAAGAAAAAGAAGTAGGTGACATGGTGGACAGCTCAGTAATAAAGCTGCTCAATGGGCAGCAGTGGTCAAAGAAGAAAATAAAATGTTAAAATGTAGAAAGAGTGGGATAGAAATTAATGCTAAAAATATTATGTCATTGAATAACTTGATGGTGCATTCTTATTGGAATGCTGCACCAGCCTATGTTCAACCCATCTAAAAAAACCAAAGCCAACATAGAAGAGCATAACAAAAATGAAGGAGTGGAAGGAGGACAGACTGGATAGTTTGGAGAACACATATAAGAGAGGACATGAGAGAGTTAATGACAGGTATACAGCAGGTCAATTGCATGCTTCAAGTTACCTTGTCTCATAATACAATGACACTGAAATGCAACATTTTAAAAACAGATAGAAGAAAATGCATTTTACGTGATGCATAATTAACCTGTGGAACAGATTGCCACAAGATATAATTTAGGCTTAATAAGGGCTTAATATGATTCAGAAAAAAATAATTAGACATTTTTAATGATAATGAGAACATCAACAGTTAATTTGGCCAAGATGAGATATTTATAAGGAATGCAAACCCTCATGCTTCAGGGCATAATCAAAGTACTAACTGATGGAGGTTGGGAAGAAATCTCCCTTTTGGGCATTCAGAGGTTTCTTATTTGTCCCTATATCCATCTGGTACTGGCTGCTATCAGAGACAGGATATTGAACTGGATGGACCAGTCTAATCTGGTGTTGCATTTCCCAAGTGAAATCCTGACCCATTACATTAAATGGCAAAACTTCCATTCACTTCAACAGGGCCAGAATTTTACCCTTTCTGTTCCGTAGCAGTAATGCTGGTGGGGGGAGGGAAGGGGAGGCAGATGGGGACCGCACGAGTCGCAATGAATTAAAGCTACTATTGGGTGCATGTCTTAAAAGAAGAAAGCATCATCTTGTTCCCTGCATGGGGCCAGAATCTCCCAACTTTTCTTCACTCCATGTTCTTATACCTATGCTGCTCACAAGCTGACCACTTTGTTATAACATAGATGTACCTAAAATGGTTTTAAGTTTTGCAAGAAACAGGGTGGTAGAATCTTGTCATTCTTCAAAAATATATTCTCCTTTTGTTGTCTTCTGTGTTAAATAATGAAGAAAGAGAAAAGCTATTGTTGCTTAAATCCTCCTTCAGAATGAGAACCTGATCTCTTGGGTGCATTTGAGAAACCTGATCTGCAGCTTCATAGAAGTAGAAGTTCTCTGTAAAAATCACTTAGTTTAAAATATGGCCCACCCAAGCACAAGCATCTTTCTCCTTCCTCTCTTTTTATAGCCATCCAGTTAAGGGAATGTCTGTAGTACAGAAATCTGATTCGACTATTAATATGTAAACAGAATTTGACTGGCTCTTCTTTTGTGCTTATTGCCAAGATACAATCTGGCACAACAGTTTTGTTTGATAGACAGCCCTGGCCTATGCTTGTCAACTAGCCAATGTAAAATAACATTATTACCCTATGATCTTGAATTAGACTGTAAAATATTTCAGTTGTGTGACACATATGATGAAAAGATTTTTGAGTTTTACATGTTTACATAATTAGCACTGCATATTTGTTAAATGAAGGTATCACTATCACCTTTATTACCATATCCCTCCTCCTCCTCCTCTGTGATGTCTGTTTCTTATGTAGCCTCGGATGTGTTAACTTTTCAAAGACATCAGAAAAAGGAGTCTGTGTCTCTGCGAGACTTCTTTTACTTCTGTGCAATTCTAATAAAAGGTATCAGAATATCAACCCTGGTCACAGCCTTCAAAAAAATCTGGTGAGGTCCAACTCAAGTAAGGAAAAGAAAGCACTAGAGAGAAATGGCCTCAAAGACCTGACTTCAGGTGTATTTAATCCTTCTACTACTGGTTTTAAAGTATTAAGTAGCCAAAGGCTATCCCTGGGTAGAAAGACGGTTCAGTGACATCCCTTTTGTAAATATGTAGCTGTTCAGCCTCCCCCTAAACTTCACATTGAAGTCTGCTCCTTTTTCAGATTAATTCAGTTTGAATACTGCTGACTGTCTGTCACTACAGTCATATGTCACTGGTGGCAGCTCAGAAAGCCTAACCCCTTCTGTAATGTCATTGCACACAAATCATTTTTAAATGCAGCGTAATAGTTTAGGGATACCAGTAAAACAGTGAGGAGGAAAACATTTTCAGTTTGAAGGGTGTGCAGTGCAGTTTATAAAACTAAATTTAGATGTGCCACACATGTTTCCCTGTGATTAACATATACAGTGTAGGTAAGGTTTGCAGAGTTTATAATAAATTAATAATAAAGGGCTAGTTTCATACTGAATAGTACCTCATTCCTCAGGCTGTTCCATTGGTTTCAGTGAATTCCCTCAAGGAATAAGGTAGTACTTAGCATGACTATCAGAAGCAAGTCCAGAATAACCACCAGAACAGAGATAGGCTCCATCGGCCCAATTAGGAATCAGAGTGGGCTTTTGAACACCTTGGAAGTTTAGAGCTAGGGGTCTGGTTCAGCCCATTATAAAGAGAGGTCAGCTGCAAGCTGTGAATACCCACAAAAGGGTATTTTGGCTGTAAGGATTTGACTCCAGCCCATCTACAAAGGAGTACTTGGGTTAAAATATACATTTACAAAATGTTTGACATCTGCATGTAAGCCCTCCCTGCCCCCCCCCCGCCTCCCAATCACACATTTTATGGTCCAAATTGTGCTCTCAGTTTATCTTCTGCAACTTCACTGATTCAATGAGGTGCCATGGTGAAACAAACAGTAGAATTTGGCTCTTTAAACTTTAAGGTTTATGTGTAATTTAATGCAAAATATTTTTAATTACAAAACATACAGTATATGCTGTTACCTGCCTAAAAAGCTTCTGAAATTAGGCCTAACGCTGCTCCAAATTTCAGTTTTCTGGCTTTCTGATTTAATTCCAGCTGCAATAGTAAACATCCTCCCCTGTTTACAGCTCCATAAATAGTGCCTTGTATTTTCTGTGACAATGCAGCTCTGGGCTGTCTCTGTGATCATTTATTTTATATCATCCTTAAGTTGCCATTTATTTACGTTTCTTAAAACAGCTACCCCATTAAACGAATGGCCTGCTTTGTTAAGTCATGGTCAAGGATGTTTCCTTCAACTTATCACATCTAGAAATGCCATAGTCAGAAATGCTTTCAGGCTATTTGCTAAGAAAACTAACATAAGCTTCTTATCAGAAAACATTACATTTCCCCGAAAGGTGAACTGTTCTGTCAGTTATTCAGGCCATGTGAAATTCTATGACAGGTCACTGCACAGAAGTTGATGGCACACTGTGGTCGCCTCGAATGTAAGCCAGAGCCTTCAGCTACATATGACTGCAGGTAGTGACACAGAAGCAGCAAGCCTTTTCCCTCTGTCACATCTAACTGTGGGTTGTATTCTGGGCATAGATTGGAGGGGGGTATACAGGGGGCTTAAGGCTGCATCAAGAAGCATTGCCGATTTAGTGATGAGTCCTGTGTGTTAACATCCAAGGTTCAAGTCCCAGCAGAGTCGGGCAGGAGAACAGGCTGTTTTAGACTTAATGCACCATTGTGCTTTCAACCTACTGCAAGAAATAAAGCCAGAAGAGAAGCTATGCATATTTCCAATACTCACAACACAGGCTTCATTCTGCTAAAAACAAAATCAATATTAGCAACTGCATACTAACTACTAAAAGTTTAATGGAACACACTGGAGTTCAGATATTTTAGTTATTTTCCTTAACGCAAGCAGCTAATTTCCAGTTAGAATTCCACTAGTTAAAAAGGTTGGTCATGTCAGTAAGAGGTGAGGAATAGCCCTCCTGGGATCAACACTGTACAAGCTTTGTATTATACAAATTTGCATGAAGCTTATGAACCTTCAGGAAAAGCTCTCCATAATGAAGCTAAAAGCTCTGATTGGCACAACACTCTGATTTTTGTGGGGTTTCAGTCATTACAGCACTGGAATCTGCACCACTAAATCCCGATGCATTGACATACATTGTGGTGTAATAACATTCTGTGTAATAACACAGAACACAGAGAAACAATTGATTTAAGCAGGCTTCCCTTGTGCATTTGCTGAGTCCCCACTAGTTACAAGGATTAGGACTACAGAGAGAGCTAGACATTTAACAGACAGGGGAAATTTGAAAAAAATGAATAACAACCCCCTCACCATATATTTTTCAGAGAAATAATTATTTTTAACCTTTTCAGTTGAAGACATTTCTGTTCTTTACACTTTATTCTAGTTTTGCTTTCTCATCTGGTTCTCAATTCTCATCTAGATTTGCTCTCCCATATTTCCAGGACAGTGTTTTCATTGCATTTTTGATCAGTTACCCTGAGAACGTAGAGTATAAAGTTTTGAAGCAAAGCTTTACTATCTGACGTTTGGTTCCTGCCCTCAGGAGTTTCAGTCATGTGTCTTGCTACAATGTTCTGTTTTGCTAATAGGTGTGTACACATCATTCGTGCTTTACTCCTGTAGAAAAATGGCCAGTCTGTAGTAAGAAATAAATATTTTATGTTTTTTTTTTATAAAAATGCCAGCTGCTTTTATTTTATTTATTCAAATTTATATTAACCATAGCTGTAGGTGCTCATCCTATGCTCTGGGTTCCTATCCCCAGAAGGACTGTCCATGGATATAACCACCTAGTCCCCACTGTGCTCCCTCTTCAACAGCCTGAGAAAACAGAAAGAAAAGAAGGGCTTTCCATTGTGACTGGAAGATTAACCAATCTGGGCTCTGATTGACCAACGCCGGGAAGTGTGTTCCAGAAACTTGAACTCCTCACAGAGAATGCCTTGCCTCAGCTGGTCCTCCTCATTTATAGGGTAGTGGGCTGAAACTTGAGTCCCTCTTCTGATCTCAACTGTGGCAGTATCTCTCTTAGCTTCCCCATCTTATATCCCTTTCCTATTTCAGGACAGCTATGAACACCCTGTGTTACCAATAGCAATGCCTCGTGCAAGCCAGAAATGAAAGTTACTTGCACTGCTATCTGATTGCAATGTTTCTCTTCAGGAATAGGAAATAACACTATGAGCAGGCAAGTCCCTCCCCTGTGGACATTCTTTAAATGTTCTTCAAATACGATCTCCTTTTTGTAAACGTGAGTAATACTTCCTGCCTATGCATGATCACAGTCCAAATGCAAAAAACCCCACCTCTGTCCTAAAAAGAAATGACACCAGACCTGATCAGGAAACAAAGAAACTAAACTGATGCAATAATAGACAAATCTTCAGCAGATTTTACATACGATTATTAAAAGTCCTTCCCCTTTGCTATATATTTGACAATGCATATGAAACCTCAAGTCTGAGACGTATCTCCTTTGCTCTCAGTATTGCTGCCTGTAACCCGTGAATAAGTAAATGATTAAGAACATTTTAGATTTGGCATTGTCAGATATACTACCTGTCTCTTTTTGTTTCAGTCATGCTTGCTATTCTTACCAGTTTAGACATTTTCTATGTCTTCAACCTTTTCTCATCTCCACTGAGGTAACACAAGACATTTCAGAATCCCCACAAAAGTCAATTCAAGTCTGCTGTATCTGATCTATATGGGTTTATAGAACATTTTACCTTTAATCGAGACATTCCTCTCTTGCCTCCATGCTGGTTACAGCTATATTGTTACTCACCACACTAAGGCTTGGTTATGCTTGTTGTCTGCACGTACAGGACAGCACCAATGAGTAGGATTTCAAAGTGAAATCTGTTAAAAGTGGAAATCTCCAAATTAGCTCATGAATGTTACCATATGCAGAACTCTGTAAATATATCACTGATAAATCACACATTTTTACCACATGTCTATAAAACCATGATTATAATAAATGTCTGCTTAATTAATACATTAGGACATAAAGCCATTTATTCTCCTCTTATTTGCTATCATTCTCCCTGTTCTGATTTAATAATGCAAAAAGGTTTCTCAGATGCCAAATGGTGGAAATAATAAAAATACATTCATCACTGATATTGAAGGCAGACATGCCTGGCTGTGCTTCTGGCATAGCAAATGCAGCCAAATTTCTTAACTGAAAGGCGAGTGATGTTTTACCTAAACATGTTAAAAATCAGGTCTGCAACAATACAAAAAAACCCAAACCAAAACAAAAAAAACCCCCAACCAATCCTGTAAGATGCATTGGGAACACAGCAATAGAGGTGTCCAGCGTAACCATTATTACAATATGGAAAAAAAAAAAAAAGGAAGGGCGGGGGGAAGCTTTCAAGACAGTTAAATTCATGAGGGCTACAGAGCCTCAAATTGAAATTATCTCACTCTGTGCTGATAAATAAAGTAGCTCTGGTACCTAAATCATGACACTAACTATACGTTTCGATTTTTTTAAGTAGTGATTAGGTGGATACTCAGGGGAACCCACTAGCCTTCACAGAGATAACAGACTCAACTTAATATCAACTTAAAAAGAGACTTGAATTCTAACCAATCTCATGTAATGAATTGCAATTCTATAGCTTTCAGAGGGGGAAAAAAAGATAAAAAAGCGATGTGGCTCCATTCTCTAACTTGCTGTCAGGAAATATAATTTGTGCTCTCGGTGATTCACCTAGCTCATATGCAGCATGCAAATTTATTTCCCTAATAATCAGACCTGGAGATTGCCCAAGAGGATTAATAGCATCATTCCTTATGACCGCCAGGATATTATGCACCTCTGACATGGAAAAATTGTGTTAGTTCTACAGAGAAAACGCAAGGATATTTGTCCTGCTAGACAATATAATAGGCTGGTGCATCATCAGATTACAATGTCATTTCAAAAACCTTGAATACAAATAATGTACAGTGGGGGAAATGTTGGTACAACCTCCCTTAATTCAGTAGCCTTGGATTCACATGTATTTTTTTGCTTGTATGGTTTTTTTCGTTCTTTCCCTATTATAGTTTGTGGAATATTGTACACAAAAAACAAAGATATTTTATATTAAAATTATATCTTGTTGTTGTATAGGGTATTTCTTTGAGAATACCCTATACAGACACTGTAAAAAACAAAACCCACTGCTCTCAGTTTTACAAAAAGCTAAATACACAAACATCTATATTATATTGTATATGTCTATAAGAATATGGAGCACATTTATTGGCACAGTTTCTTAATGTTTCATTCACAAGTCAAAGCAATGTATTTTGCAATCACTGGTATTCTCATAGGGAGAACGTTAATTTTTAAAATCTTTTTAAATGAGTTGGTCAGGAATTTTCTAAAAAAAGAAATGTTTCCTGCTGTACTTTAGACCAAAGAACACTGCCTTCGAGACAAGACAAAATTTCATTATTATGCGCATGGGAGCTATAAGATTAGCTCCTATTGCTGCCCCTAAGGTGGAGCAGCAGGAGGAACCAATGAGATGATGCTAATGTGCATGTTAATAGTATTCTCCTAGAAGAAGTTAGGATAATTAAACATGTACCGTCTCTTTAAGACAGAACTGCACACATTTTCTTCGGATGGGTGTTTACAAGATTTCCAATTTCAGGTCACAGCCATTTCTGAGATTGCTTAAGAAAGGGATGGGAATAACTTATCTTATTCATGTATTCAAAGAACCTTATAAAATGTGCAAAACATAACAGTTTTAAGGGGCAAAACATGCATCTTATCTTGACAGACCTGCTTTATTATGGGTAGTGTTGTATACTGACCTAATATATTGAATATTTTTAAGCTAATATACCTTGTAGGAAACCAGCCTTTAATGTGATGGATTTTATAGTATCTCATTAGGGTGTGTTTATATAACCTGATACTAAACACATTTCCAGATTCATGTTCCTTATTAAAATTGTGAGCTGTATTGATTTTTAGTTGGAACAGCAACAGAGTCATTTTTACTATTAAGAAAGGCTGTTCAGAAGTTATTTTCACAGATCACAACTGCTGTGACACAAACAGTGCACATATCTCTCATCTTTCTTTACAGCCTCAATTATATGAATTGTGATGCATTACCCCACCTTCTTCTCCATTGGTGGAGCAGTTCTGTTAGATTGTTAAGAATTCAAAGGGGCATTTTTTATTCATGGTTTTGTTATTTTGCTTTTAAATATAAATTCAAGACAATCCTCAAAATAGTATTTATATTTTATCTGGTAAAGAAACATGTGTTTTTAAAACCAAAATGCCTTCATGCCTCTGCTTTTCAAGTTTCCATAACAAACCTGGCAATATTTACACTAATATACCAAACACAAAAACTTAGCATTCCCAGTGGTATAAAAAATAATAACTTTCACATGCTAATGTCTCCATTTTGTAAACCAGTCTTCAAAGGTAAATCTAATGTTAGCAGTAAATAGAAATGCTCCTATATTTCTCTGAGGGATCAGGGGGAAATAATGATCTTTGAGGTACATTAAATAGTTTAAATTATTGGGAGGTCCTTGTTAGAAACAAAATGTGAGAATAAAAAGAATAAAGAAACTGTTCCCTTTCCTGCAAAGTTAGGGCTTTTGGAGGCCACCCAAATTTTAAATGCAAATATTTAGAGAGGAAGAATCACTTCTGAGACAAGCAAATCATAAACTTATTCTTCTTGATTTAATTAACAGTTAGATAGTACAATCTAGGTTTTTTTTTACAAAAAGACACAGAAGAGTGTGTGTTCATTACATTTCTACATTTTTAAAATCAACCCTTAAGTCTTCAACAGGGACAAGGTTTGAAATTAAATTGCAACATATAGAAACCAATTGATTTAATATAGCCACTTGTGTGCTTTCCTTTTAACTAGACTTGTTAGTTTTGCTATAATACTAGAGAAGCAGTTCAGGAATTTCAAGTAATTGCTATATTTGGCCTATGAAATTTTAGGTCTGAATTGGTTCTCAGAAAGGAGAAAATTTTCCTTTATTTTGCCCCTGGCATGCTATTCATTATTAAACATTAAAGTTGTGTCAATTACTTACCTCCGTAGTTGATTATTATCCTGGTTATTCTACCAGCTAATCAACCCTTCTCTAAAACATATCTAGCAGTGGGTCTTAATAGATATACAGAATATAATGATTTGTGCAAATTTATTTTGTTTCCTTTTAACCACAGAAATTGGTTGATTATTTTAATCCACACAACCCCCAAATAAGAGCCTATCTTGATTTACCAATTTATTTTTAATCAATGTTAGCCTGGGTTTTTAAAGTTTACTCTTCAGCCAATGTAAGAGATTACACTGGGAGAAAGGAAAAAAAAAGATGTAAGTGTTTCATATACTTGCTTTAAAAAGGGATGAAACTAACCTCCCGGAGAAAGACTTTGTTAGTATTAACAGATTCACAGCTATTCTGTTTGAGGTGCAATTATTTTACCATTATTACACACAAGGCTTTTAACAGAACAGTCATTCCCTCCATTTAAGCAGTGAGTTTTATAATTTATTACATCTCTTTGGTCATCAACTCACTATACAAACAGTTGGTCACCAGTGACCAATTACATTAAGGTTAAGCAACATAACTTTAAATTAGAAATAAGCTAATGTATCTTCATCAAGGGCCTGCTGTGTTTTCACTGCTGTTTATGAGATGATACTAAATGTGGATATGGAGCACGCTCACTGGGACCAATTCCTATCGGCCTGAAAATGGGAAAGTCTTGAGCCTACTCAGGTCCAGAGCTAATTAATGGGATAACATCTGCTTTAAGCATTCCGCTGTAGTAATTTCTATCAACTTCACTGTGAAGGTGCATGGGAAACGAACAGAGAACTAAGTATCTATCTTGAACCACATTAATCTGTAGTGGATATGAAAATGTGAATTTTAATATTGCTCTCATCTTTAGGGGGTTGCGAGGGGGGGGGATTTTTCTTGTAGATTATATGGATTTTTTTCTCCCCCATGGAGACTATCCTAAATTCAATCTGCACATACTGCTTGTGGTTTTGTTCATTTTTTGTTTTGTTTTGTTTTAAAGAAAGGGACACAGCAGCAGATGAAGATGACCATGTGTCTCATCAACAATCAATTTTATACAGGAGGATGTTGAAGTGGTTTTATCGCATTACTTAAAAAAAAAAACAGCATGAATTGCCAAAGAAAAAAACACGGTACTGTAAAACAGGCTTCAAAAGTGATAAACCCAGTTACTTCATTTTATCAGCTTGTGTATAACAAGCACTTGTCTGAAGTGCCAGGCACCTATCCTGATTTGTTATTTAAATAAATACAGGTTGAATGGAATAAATAAAATACTACTACTACTACTACTACTACTACTACTAAAAATAATCCATGATTACTTAAAAACAAACACACATATCTGAATTCAGAAGTCCCTTCAGCTGAATTTTCTCACTTATTCTGCAAATTGTTAAAACATTTTAATTACAGTCAACGGTTCAGAGCTATATTTTGCTCCTGTGCTTTTCCAGTAGGCCAAAGAATGAGAATGCTCAGGATAAACTGGTTTATTTTTTATATTACATAGTCAAGCAAACAGGTATGTGCCACCAATGCATGCGCTTGGAGTGGTCAATAAACAAAAGAAAACGTATTGTTTTCTCTTTATATTATTATTGCTTAAGCTACATTTTACTGATTTAATTCTTTCAAGATAATACATTGGGGAATGAATGGCATGCAAACAAAAAAATGGTCCTAGTAATAATGAAATTATATTAATAGTTGTTCACCTTTACCTATGAGGTGATGAGTTCAAATGTCAACTCTATGGAATATTTTCT